ACCGTTGTTTGTGGCTGTCTGGCAGATCTTGTGGTCAGGGGAATGACTGCTGTAGAGTGTGGATGAAATATTCGGGTGGGAGGTCCGGCTGTTAAGCACCAGTACAGTTTTGGGAATGTGCAATCACTTGATAGGCAGTAAATGTGCATGGGTGAGGGATTGTGTTTATGCTCCATCTGCTCAGAATTCATCAAAACGTCTCCAGACTTGACACAGAACCGCAAGGGCTATAGTCCCCGCATCTGTTACGAATCAGAGTCATGAACCCGAGGTGGCGTCGTGATTTCTCCTTCCCTTTTGAAGATCCTTGAGTGTAGAGTTGCCTTCAACCCCAGAATTAATTGCTCTAGTGTGGAAAGGTACCCAGAGTCCCACGCAGCTGCAAAAATGGCTCACGTGCTGTGGATGATCACAGTTGCTGCGCTTTCCACTCCACTTTCACAAGTTGCACTGGAAATCTTGCAACAGATCGGCTTTTCCAAGCAGCAACAAAAGTTGAATACCTAAGCTTTCGTTGCAGCAGTAGAGGGAATAATAATCTTTTTAGTAGTGTTTTGATGTCATTCAGTGGAAATCTAACATCACATTTCTGCAAGACACAATGGGAAATTCTAGACATGAGTTTAAAAGCTGATGTTTTTATGCCTGGTGCTCTGCGGTTGTGTTTTGGGGCTTCCCACATTACATATAGATTAGCCTGGCTTTGCTGAGCTCTATATAATGACTCCATTGACTTTGCTGCCTTATTATTTTTACTCAGGAGTTGTAGTGGGATCACTGCTTATACCAGGGATTAACTTGAAGGATAAATCTTCAATTCTTGTTTATGAAAAAATGTCCAAAGGAATGCAAATCAATTTTAATTTTAATGTGTTTGTAACAAGCCAGTTAAAAATACTCAATTGAAAATCCTCAGGAAGGGAAATACAAACTATTGCAAGACCCAGCTGCGTACTTTCCCGGGATGCTATCAGGAGAGCAAAGAGCACTTTACACTGGAATGGCCTTGATGACTTTTTAATGATCCTAGATGTTTTTGCTTCTTCACTAGGGAGATGCATTTAGGAGGGCATTGTTCTTGCATAAGTTTGGAAGTAAAGGGAAAG